AGAGACCTTGTTCTGTTTCTTGGTGTTTCAACGAACACCACACATTTTAAATACATGTCGGTGCATCTATATCAAATCCTTTATGTCTAAATGCTGGGCAAAATTCCAGTTTATATCCACCAACGCTGACTTATCTCATCTCTTAATGTTTGCCACCTCAGTTGTCTCTACTCCAACCAAACACACTCAACACTCCAGTGCACTTCCAGTTCCATTTGAAGCAAGATTCATTTCTCCATGAGAGTGTTAGACAGGTTCTAGCTGGGGATGTGGTCTGAATGTTCTTCTGATATCTTGGACTACGATTGGCAAGATAAGAAGTGGTCTATTATTCCCTTTGGCTTCATGCCCTCAGAATATGAGTCTCCAAGGATACCTTCACAAAGAATTTTTACTATGTGATTTGATTTTTCCTCTCTTATGCTTATGAACCTGCCCTATATGGAATTAAGAGTCACTGTGCCATAATGGATAAGTGGGAAGATTCTGGAACTTACAGCCTGGGTTTAATATTTTATTTTATTTATTTTTAGAGAGAGGGAAAAGAAGGGAGAAAGAGGGGGAGAGAAACATCAAGCAGGTGCCTCTTGCAAGACCCCAACTGGGGGCCTGGCCCACAACCTAGGCATGTGCCCTAACTGGGAATCGAACCTACTAACTTATATTTGGCAGGCTGGCGCTCCATCCTCTGAGCAACACCAGCCACGGCCAGCCTGGGTTTAAATTCCAACTTTACTATTTACCAGCTGTACTGAATTTATCTTTCCTCAGTTTCCCCATCTGTAAAATGGGGACATCAATAATAATAGTATCCACTACACAGGGTTGTCGTGTTTAGAACAGGGCCTCGAAGTTGTAAGCACTTAATCAATGTTGACCCTCATTGTTTAAAATACATATAGGGTCTGAGCCTACAAAAACACATACATAGAAATAGAAAAGTTAAGACATTAAAAAGCAAATAAAGAGAAACAGAAGATGTGTCTGGCTACACCAAGGTAATTCTGTTTTTAATCTCTAGTGACAAGGCCTTTACAGGGCCATTTTGGTCTTCTAAGACCAAACACTTAAGTATAAACAACAGAACCCCAAAGAAATCTGCTTTCTTCCCTCTGTCTGGCTCTGAGAGTTTTACAGCTCACAAGTTCTGGCTCCAGAAAGATCCTATTCCCCCTGGTTTGGAAAGGTGTCCTTGGCTGTCACCACTGGTTTTCCAATTCTTTGTCATTTCCCAATACTGTAACCCCTGAGGGTTTAAGCTGCATTTGGAAGAGATGGGGGGAGCCCCTGGGAGCTTGTGGATTGACACTGGCTGTTGGGAAGAGCACCTCCTCTTTCACGCTGTGACTCAGACTGGCTCAGTCCTCACAGCCCTGACAGGACCGAGCTTAGGAAGCAGCTCTGGTGGGGCTCAAGCCTGAAATTTATGTCTTGTTTGTCCTGGACCCATGCAATATTTTTTCTTGCCTTGAAGATGAAAGGGTTACTATTCCTCACTTCCCCACCTCCTGCATTTTGTAACATGTAGGCATCTGCAGTGCCCCTTTTATTTTCCTGGAGAATTAACTTCTAAAGAATCAGTGCATGTCCCTAAACAGTCACAGCTGAGGGTCTTGAAATATAAAATAGACAATTGGATGGCTTTCAGAGAAACATCCTCACGTTCACTCTGCTCTGGTTCTTCCCACTGCTATGACTATTATTTGTACTATAAACTCCATGGAAAGACCTTTCAGTAGACAAAGAGAAGCCAATCCTTCCACAAAGTTATAAATTCCCTGAGAGAAGGGCTCGCCTCTTGTATTTCTTTGATCCCTTACAGCGCCTAGCACAGCATCTTGTACATAGTAGATACTCAAATATTTGTTGATTGATAAGATTTCAAGGCTTAGATCGAAGTGAATGGACAACATTTGTCTAAGGAAAAATAAATGGTTTCATAGACAAAACCTCTTAATTCTCCTTATCAGGAGCAGTCAAAATTTTAATTTACACTAAAATATATAATGGCAAAAATTTCAGTGTCTGTAAAATATAAGTTTTGGAGTCTGCCTAGTGAGGTGAATTTGTTTCTTTGTTTCTTGACAGACATTTATCAAGTCCCTCTATGTGTCAGACACTATTCTGGGCATTAGAGAAACAAAGATGGAGAGAGTTCTTGCTCTAACTTCAGAGTGGAGAGACTGGCATATCAGCAAGATACTAAAAGATTATAAGGTAGGCACTTTGGTGAAGGTCTCAGTAGGTTTACAGTAGAGAGCGGCGTAGAGGTTCTGAGGCTCAGAGACTGATCCAGCATTGACTTGGTATCACGTGCAATCAGAACACTTTGTTGTTGGCCCAGGAGCTTGCCTTTAGAGCTGGGGGTCCACAGTGGACTGACGCTGAGCAGCAGCAAACTTTGTGAGAGCCACTGAAATTTCAAATTGAGATTTGCTCATTTTAAAATTATAACGACAACACTAAATTTTAAAATTTACTGAGAGAGTTCAAGTTGCAATCTGAAAATTATGAAGTGTGAACAAATAAATTATCTGTAAAAAAAGACTAAGAGGGCCTCCCTCAGAGAATTGTTGTAAAGATACATTTATTGCATGCATGGGAGGGTGCTTAAACACCTGAAGAGCTATACAAATGTCTGTATGACTTCCAAATTAATTAATGGCCTATCTTCTCGCCTTCTCCTTGGTTAAAGCCAAAAGGCAAAGATCAAAAGGTGGACATCATCCCTTTCAAAGTGCCTTATTTTTGCACAGGACAATGTGACCGAGAGTTTGACCAAATATCAGGGAGATTTCCCTGTGGCTGACTTTGGATAAATTGACAGCAACCTTGATTAATATGTTTCATCAGTTCATAATCCACGACAATAAAAATCGTATGAACTCATCTTAATGCTGATCAAATTGAATGGAATTTCATTTGACACAGCTTAATTATTTGGCATATGCAGTACTCTAGAAAAATAAAACAAGAAAGCAAAGCAGAAAATGGCTTTACAGTCCAAGCCCACAGCTACAGCTGGAGTCAAGGTGACACCCTTTTTCTGGGGTGAGACTTAGAGCCCTTGGGTTTTTTCCTAACCTGAGTTTTCCTTGTTGTTCAGGCCACCTCCGAAGAGATTCTTTATTCACATTTCTTCAGTATCATGACTGAAATGATGAGCCCCTTAAGAGTAAGTTAGATATTAGCCAGCCAAGAATAGAAAAAATTCAATACAGGCATGGAAGCCAATGAATTGTTTGTGTTCTCTATCCTAACCAGTTAAAAAACAGTAAAGAATGAAGGGAAATGGGCTTAAATTAAATCAAATGGGCTTGCTAACAGGCCCCCATTTTCTCCATTTCCTAATCCTTTTATAAATTCCATTGAGATGGGATTTGCTTCTAGACTGATTACGTGACTTAAAAATCAGCATAATTACGAGATATTTGTTAAGAGGGACTTCCTCGTCTTGTCTGTTTGGTTTCCTTTCCAGTACTGAGTGGCTGATGACCTGGCTGCAACCAGTTCCACCTGGGACCTTCCCCATCTCAGAGGTAAAGAGAACCCTCCCAATAACCTCAAATGAGGGAACCAGGACCCAGAACAAAGCAGATGATTTTCCCAGCAACTCAGTGACAAAGCCAAGAATGAGGCTCTCGGTGTTTTTGGTTTTTAGGGGTTTTTTGTGAATTTATTTAGTAACATTAATTATTGTTCACATAAAGCTGGAAAATGGGATCTTGAAAAAATCAAGTTGAAATATAATAACACAGAGCCAATTTTTTAGCAGTAACATGAATCAGGTAATAAATAGCTCTGTTTGATCAAGAATAGGGCTCCTGACCAAAGAATTTTTTGGACAGGGGAAGCACAGGCTTCCTGCATATCTCCACCTCTCTTTTGGCCTCAGAGTGGATCTTCTGGGATGTTCCAGGCCAGGATTTTTCTTGTTCTTTCTTTGGTCCTCCAAAAAAGTTTCAAAATTTCTAACATCAATCATAATTATATTATCAACAACTATCACTTGTTGATTATCATAAATGGCCTTTGAAGGGGCCTTAAAGGGAAGTGAGATAAAGTCCCTTCTTTTACAGAGCTTCAGTCTGGATAGCATGATCTGAGATTAAGGGGAGCATTTATTATAATAATAATAATAATAATAATAATAAATGTTATTGAACCACTTGCCAAGTGCTTTACTTGTTTCTCTTTTGTAGTCGTCAGATGAAACCCATCACCCATTTCACAGATGAGGAGACTGAGACTTACTCGAAGGTCACAGGGCTTGTGTGATGACACACGTACCTCACTCCAAAGCCCAGGCACTCAAACACCAAGCAGTACTATCTCCAATGAGAGAACGGATGTGGGAGAGTGGGAATGCCTGAGAAAAAGGAATAATAAGGGCTCTTTCCTCAAGGAGGAAAGGCTTGTAAGTATATCATTTTGTAGTTATTGTAATAATTATACAGTCTCATGCCCTAGAAAAGACCCTTTTCACAATACTCCTTCAAGTTAATTAGATATTTTAATGTATAGATGTTCCCTTTGCCTGCACAGTTTCATCAAAGATGTTTTTTAAATTTCTTATTATTATTAATTTATTTATTGAATACTTACAACATTTGTGAGTACCACGCATGCTTCTAATCATACAATCCTCACAATAACCTAAAGAAGGAGGTACTATTACTATTCCCATTTCACAGATGAGGGAACTGAGACACAGAGTAGCTAGACAACTTGCCCAAAGTTACACAGCTAGTAAGTTGTGATCCCTGATTCAAACCCAGGCAGGCAGGCTCTGAGTCCAGACTTCAACCACTAAACAATGTTGTTCCGTACACACAGCACTGTTGCCTGGGAAGTGTTAGATACTAACTCATGCCTGTGGCAAAGCAAGTTGCTTTGCTTTACAGAGTTGTGTCGAGTTGTGGCATTGTTGATAAAAGTGGCACCCAAGAGCTGTTTCCTAATTGATCTACTCCTGCTGCTGCTTTTTCCACAGCTTCTTAAAGACTTTGGAACATTTCACGAATTTGCTTGTCATCCTTGCTCAGGAGCCAAGCTTATCTTCTCTGTATTGTTCCATGTTTAGTAGATGTCCTGCTGAAATGAGCAGAAGGGTTAAGTCAAAGAACACGTATGAATGACTTATGGACATGGATAACGGAGAGGGGATTGACTGTGGGCAAGAGGGTTGGGCTGGCTGGTAGGGGGCAAAAGGGAAAAAAATTGGGAAAACTGTAATAGAAAAAACAATAAAAAAAAAGTAGAGAAGAAAAAAAAGACATTAGGTATCCAGTTGGTTCTTTTTTTTTTAAAGACACATTTTCTCAGTGTCATGATCAGACTATTACATTTAGCAATCAATGGAATGAGTACAAAACATTAAAAAAAACACCTACACTAAAACCCTTTGTTGGAATGCTTTACACTTTCCAGAGAACAGAAACTAAAATAACCTGTTATACAATTAGTTACAAATACGATCACCATTTTTTGTGCCCATACACATGCGTCTTGGGTAAAACATGTCTTCTTTCGAGCAGCTAGGCGCGGCCGCCACAGCGGTTGGCTGAGTTTGCAAGTCTGAGCGAACCTGTAGCTTTTCTGTCACTTCTCAGGTTCTCCTCTCCTGCTACGCATTGTTTCCTGGCAGGAATTAAATCCTCCTGCACTACCACAGCTGCCGCTGCGGCTGGAACCTCCATAGCCACCTTGGTTTCGTGGTTGAGCGAAGTATTGGCCTCCACCACCACAGAGGCCAGAGCTCCCGCCTCCACAGTTTCCTGCTTTCATGGGTCCGCATTTGAAGTTTGATTATTGTAATTGCGAGAATCGTCCTAACTTTCACCACCTCCAAAAGGGCTTCCGTCACTACCAAATCCGTTAGGGCTGTCCCCACTGCCACCATATCCACCACCACCACGGCTGCCACCAAAACCACTTTCACCACTGAAGTTTTCTCCACAGCCAAAGTTATCACTCCCACCAAAACCACCTCCATGACCATCTCCAAAGTTTTCTGAATGACTTCGACTTCTTTGGCTGGATGAAGCACTAACCACCTATGGCTTAGATAGGCTTTCCTTCCATCACAGATGTGGCCATTCATGGCATGCTATTGTCTACAGAGTCATGGTCATCAAAGGTTATCAAAGCAAAGCCTCTCTTTTTGCTACTGCTTCAGTCAGTCATGATTTCAATTACTTCAGTTTTCCCATACAAGATAATCTCTTAGGTGATGTTCTCCAGTGTCTTCTTTAAATACCACTAACAAAAATCTTTTCACAGTTAAGTGGGCACCGGATATATGAGAATCTTCTCTTGCGACAGACCTCTTTGGTCCCCAACAATTCCTTCCATGTCGTGTGGCCCTGCACTCATGGCTGGATCCACCTCCTCCACAGTGGCGTACATGACAAACCCAAAGCCTCTGGAGCACTTGGTGTTTTTTATCTCTCAGCGCCACACAGTCTGTGAGCATCCTCATTGCTCAAAATGGCTCCCCAGACTCTCATTGGTTGTTTCAAAGCTCAAACCTCCAATAAAGAGCTTCCGCAGCTCTTCAGGCTCTTTGGGAGACTAAATGACACATGACAACTGCAGGAAGAGAGACTTCAATGATGCTTACTCAGCAGCATCCACCAACAAAAAGGTTGTCCAGTTGGTTCTTAATAAAGAGAAACTGACCTGAATGAGCTAAAATATTCATCAAGGTCGCTGTTGAAAGAGGTGTCCTTCAGTGTTTCCTTTTGCTTGTTTCTTCTGGAAGTAAACAGACATTTGGATTACAAAAAGCAGCTGGGAACGTGAACCAAGGACAGTTAGGGTTCATAGAAAAACTCAGCATTATTAAAAAGGTTTAGGTTGAAAGCGTTTTGGTATTTTTTTCCCTTTTTTTGGAGGAAAATTACAAAATATTTTAATGTATGGTCAAACGGGACAACTTTTTTGTTATTCCCTTGTAATGCTCCAAATTTCCCAGTTGATTTCTGATGATTTCTAAAGGTTTGACTAATTTATTTTTACACTTTCAGAAAATGTTTTCACAGTGTTAACCAGCTTTACTCACAATTGGTCGAATGAGCAACTTTGTTTTGTTTTGTTTTGTTTTGTTTTGTTTTGTTTTAAAGAATTTGTTTATTGATTTTTAGAGAGAGGGTAAGGGAAGGAGAGAGAGAAGGGAAGAAAACATCAGTTGCCTCCTGTTTGGCCCCCAACCAGGAACCTGGCCGCAACCCATGCAAGTACCCTGACAGGGAACCGAAACGGTGACCTTTTGGTTTACGGGACATACGCCCGACCCAATGAGCCACACTAGTCAGGGCTTACTGAGCAACTTTGTAATTATCAGAATACCCATGAAATATTGACGCAACATTTGAATACAACATTTTATTCACATTCTAAGTTGAACGGAGAGACAGTGGGATTCAGGAATGGCTGCTTTTCTTTCTGACTAAGCCACAGACTCAACAATATGTCAGGGATAATAATTTTTACCTACTCCCTGCTTTATTCCCAGGATCCTGGAAATGACTAAGACATCAGACAGCAAACTATTATACCCAGAAAGTTAAACAGTGACTTGTGTGTGGGGACTCTTATGAAAAGTGGACAGGAGAACCTGAGAGAATTTACTACAGCAAGGCCTCACCTTTTTATGGGTTTTTCATGAGAAAGGTGTGGAATGAGGAGAGACATGGGGGTTTGGCTTGAGTTTATGCCTAAATACTCTGAGCCTAGGCAACCAATGGGGAATTGAATAAGGAGGTGGGGCAAAAGAAGCTCACATAATGCTATACAAATTATGAGGAGGAATAATATTTTATGTGATATATACAATTGTGAGGGGAAAGATGGGCTTTGGATATTATGTGCAACACTATGATTGAGGTGTATTGTTTATAAAAATGGCTGAGATAATTCCTCCATCTCTGTTCATATACCCCTTTGTAGTGTGACTTTGTCACTCTTCCCATTGACAGCTGAAGCATATGGTCCTACCCCTTGAACCTGGGCCAGCCTCGTGACTTCTTTTGCCCAAAGGAATGCTGCAGAAGTGATGCTGTGGGACCTCTGGGCCCAAGCCTTGAGATATTTTTCAGCTTCTTCTCTTGCCCTCTTGCTATACTGTTCCTCTGAAAAAACCCAGGCTAGCCTCTTTGAGGATGAGGGACCACGTGGCGAGAGAGGCCCAGCTGCTAGCCAACACCAATCCCAGACATGTGAAGGAAACCATAAGATGGCCAGTCCCAGCCTACCTGCGCTCTGACTGCATTCATGTGAGTGACCCTAGGTGAGACCAACCAAAAGACTGCCCAGCTGAGCCCAGACCAAACTGCTAACTCATAAAATTGCAAACAGATAGATGGTTATTTAAAACCACTACATGTTGGGAAGGTTTGTGATACAGCAATAAACAACTGGTATAGAAGCTGGTACTAGAAGTGGGGAGTTGCCATAAATAACCTAAAACAAGTGGCATTAGCCTTAGGACATGGTAGAAGTCAGAAGCTGGTCAAGGGATGAGGAGTTGGTAGTGGACTAACTGCACTAGAAACGCAGTGAGGAAACTGCTATAGGAGACTGGAAAAAAAGGCAATCTACTTGATGTAGAGACAGAACAATTGGCAAAATTCTGCCTGAAGTAACTTGGAAAATAGAAAATATACCTAATAAGCTGTAGATCTGAGGAAGAAGGTTCTGTCTGAGAGAGACAGAGAGAGAAAGAAGATGAAAAAGGAACTGCTCAGTTTGCAAGCAGAATTTAGAGGGAATATAGAATTTTGAATTTAGAATATAAAATGTAGACCTAAGAGGGAATTTAGAGGCCTGGTATGTGCTTAATTGAAACAGAAAATCATATTTTACCTCCAAGTCTTTCCAATTGGCAAAAGATGCTCAGAGTAAGAAATGGCTTCAGGAAAAGATGAAACTAAAGGTATGGCTTAAAAAGCCCTCTATCAATACCTCAGAAAACCTAGTCAGCCCTCTCAAAGAGGCAAGAGCTTAACAAATTTTAAAGGCATTTTCCTATGCCTGCTTAACTTTCTGCCCAAAGTAGAGAAGTCTGTCTATTGGAGTGGACTGTAATCTGATATACCAGAAATTCACATAGTTTTTAAAGGACTTGTTCTGCCTTAGACTATAAGAGACAGCGTTCATTCAAAGTGAAAAGAGGCTTCTGGTTGTCCAACTTTCTATAGACAGGAAGCAAGCAGAGAAAGCTGTTCAGCTGAAAACCTAGGCAATTCTTAGAGAAAAGGAGACGATATCTCAGGGGATGGAGCCAAGAGACCAGAGGGGCAGAACAAGTCAAGGAGAACAATGGACTAGGGAACTACTTTCAGGGAGTACAACTGGGTCCTAGTCAGGAAATTTTCTGTCTGTAGAGTAAAGGGACTTAAAAATATAGTACAGTTAAGTTTCAGAAATGTCATCAACCAGTGACAGTTACGTGTCTCCAGTTGCTCCCCATTTTGAATTTGAATGTCTACAGTGGTTGTCTGGTTTCTTTCTTACCACAGTATGTTTAGGGGCAGAACGGTGCAGAACCCTGTAAACTAAAAATATAAATTCTCTGCACCATTCTACCATAAACATACACTATGATGCTTTTTATGGTGTACCAGAGAAACCGCATCCAGATCGGGACAGAATTTGAATGACGTATCCCAGACTTCAAGCCTAATGCCCCTAATGGGATGAACTTTTGGGTGATGAGCATTTGTTTGTTTGTTTGTTTTATGGAAAAAAGATATGACTGATTATGGCAGAGGTGGACTTCGTAGATTATTTGCAAAAATGGGCACAATAATTTCTCCCATTGCTGTACGCACATCCCTTTGCAGTAGGCCTTAGCTGCTTTTCCCCCATCCAGAAGTAGAGCTTATTTGCCCACATTTTGAATCTGAAGAGGACTTCAGTAGATTGTGGCAGAAGTGCAACGTTCAAGTCTAGGCTTTCAAGAGGAATTGCAGCTTCTGCTCTTGCCTTCTTCGAACACTGCCACCTTGTGAAGAGTCAGCATCCCTGAGGATGAGAGAGCACATGGAGAGAGGCCAAACCAACAGCCTGCACCAATGCCATACATGTGAGTGAAGCCATCTGA